TTGTGCAGTTCGTTTCTGCACGAGGACCAGGGGGTGATTCTTATTGGAAAGTCGCATATCGGGCTTGTGTGGGAGCTCCTGCGCGCTTGCCATCATGTTTTCGCATGCGACTCGTCGTCAAAAGACATTTCATACTTGACGAAGGTCATCGAAATTCTCGGGAAGGATGCGAGAAACGAATGCACCGTTGAGAGACAGAAGACTGCGCATCGTCCTGACAGGGACATGTACCACAAGCTGGGCAAGAAGAAAAACAAGATGTGGGAATATTTGTTCTAAGGCCAACCCAAGACGCCATTCGAGCATGACTACATAGTTCGCAAAGCGATGGCACAGGAAGCGTATAGTGGCTACCATAAAGCGCAAGTGGGATCGTTTGCGATGTTCGTAGCAAGATGCGAACGAATGAAGTTCGGAGGAAATCAGGCAATGCTGACGTACGATGGATACAGCAAGATTGCCTAAGAATATGATGCGTGGAATCCGATCGAGAGCGATGAGGAGACTGAAACCTCAGACCTTGAAATCAAGGAGCGAGTGAAACGTATGCGAGAGGAAATGGAAAGCGTGCCTGCATGCAACGCGCCAAGCCTCCAGGAAGAAGAAGTTCGCACGAAATCGACGGGTGCGAGCAGTCCAACGTGTGACGTGACCGACAGGGCGAGTTCCATTGAACACATGCAAACGGATTCGCTTACGCCAATTCAAGCACTTGAGAATGTACTGATTCATGACAATCGTCAAGGGTTCCGGGAAAAGGCTCAATCTCGAGGAAACCCGGTCAACGAAATGCGGCCAGACGATGACGAGGATGACTTTGCGGTTCCAAATGCCCTCCCGAAGCTGATGCCAAGTGATGATATCCCTGATAGCATTGCGCAGGACAGTGAACAGCCGTACTTCATTCCAGACAAGGTGCCAGAAACGACGTCTGACAAGTGGGGGCATCACATTTTGTGGCATATGGACCTATTCGAGCCATGCATTGTACAGGGGAAGTGGATGATGGCAGTCCATCTAACAAAAGGATGGAAAGTTAGAGACAGACTGGATGAAGCCTCGTGGCTGAAATTGGCGAAGAGCGAAATCGTATTTCGTGTTAGGAAAGAAAATGACGAAGCGGATGAAGCAGCTATTGAGGAAAAGGCTCGATTGCTATTCGAACGTCTTTACTCCAAAAACCGACTGGAATATAAACACGGATTCTATGACTTAGAGTCAAGTCGGTCATACAAGAGTATCAACTGGAAGATCGATCTTCCTCAAGCTGGCCATGGCGTTGAGACAATCTGGTTGGGATGCTCACAGATTGGGGGGGAGTCAAACACGCAGTTTGCAACGAGTGTTGGGGAAGCGATGAGTCAGACAGCCAGCAAGATAATGGAGGCGAATGAGGATCCACGGAATGTCGACAAAGTGGCATCGAAACGGACCTCCTCTAATAACGCAGGCAGGAAACGAGTGTGCATCGCAGATGACGAGCCCCACTCCTTCCGGGAGTGGGGCTGTTGCAAATGAAATGCAACAAGGTGGGTATGCACAACGTGCGAGTGAGGTGCAAAATGATTCCGAT